GAGGGAGGCAGGAGGGAGGGGTGGAAGTGCCAACCATTTGTGATCAAGGGCAGTTCACTCTAGGGATAGTCTCCACTGAATACAGTCCCTTTATTAAATGCTCCTCAAATTACCCTAATTTAGGAGTATCAATTTCTCCCCCCTACAAGTAGCCCCTGATAGTTATAGGTATTCAAAAAGCGTCCTCATTCTGGAAAACTTTTGAAAACTGCTACCAGTGGAGATTTCAGTTGGAGAATTTTTCTTCCCGCCTAGCACATTCCTTCATTAATCCACAAAGGGGCAGCTTCTTTTCTTGGGTGGGGGGAGTTCCTCACCTGACTGGGGCTTCAAGGAAAGCACAGGCTTTCATTTTTACATTTTGTCCAATACACCAATCTACAGTGGAAAATTTACGCTGGGAAATTACATATCTTTTAACATTTCATATCTAAACAAAATTGCTGTTGGAGGCTGGGTGCAATTGTTTTATGTCTGTAATCTTAGCACTCCGGGATGCTGAGACGAGAGGATCTGTTGAGCTGGGGAGTTCAAGACCAGCCTGAACAAGAGTGAAACCCCGTCTTTACTAAAAATAGAAAAATTAGCTGGGCATGGTGGCAGGAACCTATGGTTCCAGTCACTCTGGAGGCTGAGGCAGGAGGATCTCTTGAACCCAGTCAGGAGTTTGAGGTTGCTGTGAGCTAGGCTGACCCCATAGCACTGTAGCCTGGGCAACAGAGTGAAACTCTGTCTTAAAAACAAAAAAATCAGAACTGTTCTTCTGACTTTCCTTTGTAATATAACTGCTCGTGTGAAAGTAAATAAAAGTTACTTTTTTCTACATATATGATCTGGTGTGGAATAACTATTTTTTCTTTGGGCATTGGGAAATGTTAGTTAAACTTTGTGAATTTACATGATATCAGAAGGTAGATCTCTGAAAATGTTAATGCCTTTGAGGCGTATCTTAAAAAAAATAGGTATCAGAACATGAACAGAATTTAAATGTTTGATCCAATTAAAGGTGTTAATCACAGGATATAAGTTGTCTTCAGACAAAGACTTCAAGTGAGTTCCCCTGGAAACCACGAGACTAGCCCTGCAGTTTGAAGCTGGAATAATAAACTCATCAATCTATTTCTTTACTTTCTCTCTTCACAGAAAAAGAGCAAGAGGAAAAATTGGTCCGAGACCCCTCATCTCATCTTTACCAGTCATTAATATGTCATTCAGTTGAGGGGCCTCCTGAGGAATCTTAGTGAAGTACGTTTTCTGATCCATTTGAAATTTTTCAGAACTAATGATACCTTACAAGATAACTGGGGATTAATTAAAGTTGTTCTATCTTCTGAACTCCGGGTGAACCTTTGTAGGGCTGTTACCTTGTGAACTTCCCCAGAATCTCTATTGAGGAGGATATAATTGTTCCATTTAGGCACCTGCTAGATTCCTCTTTTTAATCTCCACGAATTTTGTATTCACCTGTGCTAACTAGTCAATTAAAGACCATTTTGTCTAAGATTTTGATCTATTATCTCAGTTCTGCATAGTCACACATATTTTATTGTTTTATCTTCAAGATTCGAAATCAGCATTACTTCTGAGGTTGAACTCAACAAGGCCAAAATAACATTCAGACTATTTGTGATTGCTAGAGTTTTATATTTCTCTTTATTTTACTTCTTTAGAAAACACTTCCCTTCATCAATCCCTATCTTATATTTCCTGGTCCAATTAAAAAGCACCACTTTAAAAAAAAATTCTAGACTGATTCTTGTAGAATGAACTTTTTCTCAATCCTAATTCCTAATACCTGATTATCCTTTCAATGCTCAATTTATATTCATTTAAATATACATATATATTACAGACAACTTGCAAATGACCCTTTGAACAAATTGTTCAAAGCACATATTAAAACATGTCTAAAAATGTATTGTCACTGTGTGTAGAATGACATCTGACACATACTATGTACAGTCACTTAAAAAGAGCTTGTTTTACTGAGCTGTTGATCTTACTTTCTGCTAGCATAATTTAAATTATGTAGAAATAATACTTTAGTGTTTATCTGTTTTAATTACAAGTTATTGTTATATTAAAACATTCTTCCTCACAGTTTCCTGAGAAAAATAGTTCGCTCATTAATACATATATTTATTTTTCAGTCATTCATTCAAAGTATCTTTATTAAGAACCTCTGGTATGCCAGAGACTGTGCTAGTATTGAGGATATGACTTTGACCAAAATAGCCATTTTATAATTATTATAATATATAACATTAGTATTGTTGCAACTGGTTTTATGACTTTTTTTGTCCCTTTTGGTTTAGCATTAAATTGTCTGAGAAACATAGAAGCATTTTATCAGTAAATATTATACATATAATTCCGAATTTTGTCTTCTCTTTGAGGAGTCAGGATCTTATTTTGTATACTTATGGTGTAGAAAGTATTAGGCCTGACACGCATGGGCTTTCCACCCCTACCCGGTGAAAACCTAACGCCTAGTATAGTGAGGGTGTATCAGACAGGGAGTTGTAGGAAGGATGTCAGAGACACGTACCCAGATAATGCCAATATAAGCCAGAGAAAGTATATAAAAATGTAAAGATGTGATGCTATTAGAATTCAGGACAGAAAGATATCATTCCCAAAGAAAATATTAAGGAAAGACATTTTAGAAGAACTGGCTTTTGAGCTAGGCCTAGTAAGATGAGAAGAATTTAGCCATAAAAAAATCTGGCAGATCGGAAAGGAGGAGGAGAAGCAACTGAAGTGCATAGAAAATGTCCCCTTATCTACAAATTACACTTCCTTAAAATAAGATAAAATATTTTTCCTAAAATTATTCTATATTTACATTATTTTTTATAAATAAATGTGTTCAATAATTATTCACTTTTCAGAGATTCAAAGATAAATGATTCCAGTCTGATATTCTTCTTCATCCTTGTCTGTTAGGGTCAATAAACCCATTTAAATATCACTAGAAAAATGACACAGAAAATCCCCTATTTACAGAAAATGATTCCCAAATCTCTATGATCTAAACATAGATCTACAGAGCTGCACTGAGGAATTATTACAGTTTACGGTAGTTGTGTTTGTAGTGTGTTAATGTTATTTTCTACCAAGTATTTATGAAGCAAGCTATCACTACTTTTAGGTAGTAACATATAATGATGAAGTAACAATTTGATTGAAAATATTAACAATGGTTTTAAATATGTAGCCAATATGCACACCACACTCTGCTCAGTGTCTGTCATGTGAGACAAACTTTCTCACATCTTGAATATCTGTACTGTGTTTCAGTATGTAATGGGGGCTATTAAGATATTACCCACAGCAGAAGCGCTTGGCTTATAATGGCTTCTCTAGTTAACCTACTACAAATTACTCAATGTTAAAGGTATTTTTTTCCACAGTGCTATCATTTTTTTTTTTTTTTTTTTGCAGTTTTTGGTGGGGGCTGGGTTTGAACCCGCCACGTCTGGCCTATGGGGCAGGTGCCCTACTCCTTTGAGCCACAGGTGCCACCCCATAGTGCTACCTTCAGTCGGATTTAGTTTTAAATAAATCAGTTCACACTCCCCTTTCCTTAATTCTTTCTTTCTAAACAAAATTTCCCTTCATTTCTTTCACTATGTTGTCTTTCAGGCCATCTAAAATCCAAACTTCTGGGCATATAGATTTTTCCCACTCCCTCATGGTCTTAAGGTTGTTCCTTCCTTGTCACCTCTTCTCCCTCAAATATTATTTAATAACTCTTAAAGGAGACTTATTCGTAAGTGTCCTCGTCTGTCAATAAAATTTGTCAATAACGATCAATACTGCATTGATTTTACAACAATTAGTTCCAATGGCTTCTGTCAGTCACATAAAGGGGAGAATCACTTACCCATCACATGGATTTCCTCTGTTTTCCCATGAATTTGTAACACTTTTAGAAAAGCCTTAGGGGATTCGCATTTCTAAAAATGTATTTGTTTTAAACAATTTTATTCATATTTACCCCCCCATAATAGCCAAATTCAAAAGGCTACATCCTGCATAGCTTTTAATTATATGACATTTAAGTAAAGAGAAAACTGTGGTGACAGAAAACAGGTAGTGATTTCCAAGGCCTAAGGATGAGGGAGAAGCTGATTATAGATCATCTTGTATTAGAAACATTTTGGGGTGATGAAAATGCTCTATATCTTAATTTTGGTGGTGGTCACACAGTAGTTGGCATTTGCCAAACTCATATAACTTTCCTCTAAATGGATAAATTTTATCCTATGTAAATTACACATCAATAAATCTGACTTGGAAGAATTCAATAATATCACAAATTTTGGATCTAAAATATATATGGACAGAGGATGCCAAAAAATTGTACACATTTTAAGAAAGAAAAAATGACTGTATTAAGGTTGTAATACTCAAGTCACATTTCTTTTGTTATCAGTGTTTAGTGAGTATTACAATTTTATATAGGTTTTTTCCATTCTTGAAATGAGTATACTTTTTTGATACCCTCTTTATATATTCAATTATCTTTAAGAGATCAAGAAAGTAAAGGAATTCTTGGTTCCATAAGATGTTTTAAGAATTTCTCTCTTTTCAGAATACCAATAACATCGTATCTTCTTTTCATAAATACAAATCGTGGTTTAGGAAATAAAAACATACCGCTTTGCTTTTATCCTTGTCTTAACTACAAGTTTACTAAAAAGAAAAAAGAAATCCTCTAGAAATAACAGAATTTAGTTGCATACCAGCTTGTTTAATGAGTTCATTGGTTATAATCATCTTCCAGTCTCAGAATAATACACTGCTATTTTAATGTTTGCAATTGCAAGATTTCACCTTTCACACTCTAGTAAGCAACTTAATAATTTAGAAAGATAATGGAGAAAAATCACTGCTAGAAAACCTTGCATAATATTACCAATATTCAGATTCAAGAAACAAAATAGCAGGATTAGAGAAAATCCTGAAAAGGATGCTTTAGACAGCAAGCACCTTACCTTTGTGTTTGGGTCGCATAGCTGTTATCGTAAGCCTCATAGGTTGGGTCCTCATATTCACCTCCGTAGCCATCATCGTACCCCTGAGGCAGAAAATGGTAGAAAGACCTATTAGCAACCAGTTTGAATAACTTTGATCTCTTTTTGATTAAGAAGATTTTATGCAATGTGACCTTGGTTTAGTTTTATGTTTGGCTGGTGACCATATATCACATTTTATTATATTAACAATTCCCAGATAACCTTGAATAACATTTCATGGATCAGGTATTAATGTTTATTAATTAAAATTAGTATATCCTTGAAGTAGCAATACTTATTCTAAGATTTATTTAGAACTGTCATCATCAATAATGAGGACAATTTAAGAAATTAAAAATAAACTTTTTTTTGAAAATATTTGGGTAGATAAAAACAATTGTGATAAAGTAATGTTGGTGTTAACATATTTGTTACAACCCCGCTGGGAGTTCTTTTTTTTTTATTTCTAGTAATTATAATTAAGATAGGTACAGAATCCTCAAAGTACAGAATCCTTACATTGTAGTTAAGTTTCAACAAAAAAGATAGAATCATTTCTTCAAAAAAAAAGAGAGAGAGAAAGGCAAGAGGAAAGAAGAAAGGAAGGAGTTAAATAAAGATTTTTTTAATTTTGTTGCATATTCTATGATTTTTCAATCTCTTAAATAAAAGAATGTTGCACAGTGAGTTTTATCACCTAAGTTACATAAACAGAGCTAAAGTAGATTTGGTGATTGCAGCACGTGCCAGTAAGCTAGCATTAACACACTGCTGTTATCAGTCACTCTGTAAATGGGTTAGTTTTATTTCCCTGTGTGGTCATTGACTTGAAACCCTAGCCATCTATCTCAATTATTCCATACTTCTGAAAAACCTTCGGATTGTCTGACTCTGGTGTTGGTGCATCACTTTCCCTGGAAAGCACTTCCAAGCCATGCTATCAATTCGTAACTTCATTTCAGTCTGGAGTCTTTCAAATCACTCTTTTATTAAAAATCTTATTCAAAAATTTCAACAGATTTCTAAATGTGATAGTTTCTACATCCATCTTGATTAACGCTTTTGAGCTCATTTAATCCAAAGACTGATATTTTTTATCAATTGAGGGGGATTAAAAAAATTACCACTTTATTTCTTCTTTTGCATCAGGTTTAATCTTTAAATATTGCTATTAAAAGCTGTAGGTTTTTTAATCAAACTTCCATATCTTCTATTTTTTTAATTGTATTTTTGCTCTGTGGCATGGGATAGTCTCTCTGTTTGACCTTTGAATATTCTAATTGGAGTCCTAATGAATTTAAAACTTTTAAAAATTGTAAAGCTAATTGTAATATTTATAAAATAATTACAGGCAGATTCTTTAAAAATTATAGTAAAAATACCAAAGAGTTTATCTCCAAAAACTTGTAGCTCCTTGTTTTTCTTTAACCTCCACCTTTCATTCTTTTTCTTTATTATTTTAGTATTTATTTTTGTGCAATTAAGTAATATAGTTAATGTTGCTTACTGTATGAATTTTAGTCATTTTTCTATTGACTGGCCATTTAGGTGGTTAATATTTAGTTCTACTATGGATTCTTCCTCTTTTTCTACCTATCTTCCTAATATGATTTCATCATAACTTTTTGTTATATAACTAGCCACTTTTGCTTGTGTTACATGGAGACAACTTCCCAAAGAGTCACAAACTAAATTAAGCTCACAATGCCACAGGGCCCTCAGGGGATGCAAACTTCTCTTCAAGTACCAGGCTTTTGGTCTTCTACCAAGATTATAAAAATATGGCTTCACTCCCCTTAACTTTTTATTCAGACTCAAGAGCTCTAGCTTCTAACAGGAGGCAAGTGAGTTCTAATTTGTCTTGCTTTGTTTCATTTCAGTTTTACCTGTGTCTTATAATGAGGAGTAGGGACAGGTACATAATTTTTTGGCCCCAAGTTTTCTCCATTCCTTCTGTTTCCCCCATTTTCTTCTGTTGAAATGCTACCAATTCCTTAAGGTCCAGGTACATGATACTATCTTCAGGAAGCTTTTCCCATTTTTACTAGCCCTATGATAAATCTTAGTCCTCTAAATTCCAATAGCCTGGAATACTTACAATGTCTAAACATGCACTGTACTTATTTTCTACCATTTTATCTCTTTTTTAGAACTTAAGCTTCTGAAAAGCAAAAACTGTATCATAATCAGTTTTTTTGGATGCCTGTGGTACTACTTAGCATAATGTATTCTATAGAGTAGCCATTCAATAAATATATATTGAATTGTTAACTTGGAACAAAGGAGACCATGCTCATCTGTGCAGTTACGGATTGACATATGTTTATCACCACTAAAAGAGAAGTATTTCCTATTATAAGGGTAGAGCCTTACTGTTTGGTTTGGGAAGATTATTTCATTTTACTTCTTCACTTTTACTTTTTTTATGTGTTACACAGAAAATACATAAAATGGATAAAAGTTTTTCCTGTTAAAGCTAAAATTTCATGAAGTATATAAATAATAATAAATAAGTAAGTATAAATAATTGTACTTACCAGAAAAGGGAAAATAAATCTGGATACATGTACCAATCTATTTTTGTTTGCTAATACTTGATTGTTGATTAAAAGTATCTTTTTAATAAAAAATATTTATAAACATAAATATTTATAAATGTGTATGTCTGTGTGAAAATGGTTGTAAAGATAGACTCCTACCAAAGAACTATCATTAGACCACAAAATAGAAGGCATCACAGTGTTTAAGATGCCAGCTCTGTGCTCTAAATATTAAAAGCAAACCATTAATTATTCATGAGTTTATTGTTATTTCATAGATCATATCATTTTTCTGATGCTAAGAGTACAGGGAGTAGGTGATTTTCTGAAGAAGAGAGAGGATAGCAAGAGTGTTCTGGAATCTGGGGTATGAAAAGACAATAGTGTGGCTGTGAAGGGTGTGGACTCTGGGTTCATTCTGCCTTCATCAAACCCGCGACCTTAAGGAGATTTCCATATGCGGAACCTTGGCCAACGTTTTAATTGTTCTGTCCTTTGTAAAATGAAAGTAGTACTATTGATCTCATAGGAATTTAATGACTTAGTACCATACTGTTTAATATAGGAATTTAACTTTAATATATTATTTTGTTATTTTTATGGATACTTCAGAGACAGCATGAAACTCCTGAAGGCAGAAAGAAGCAGAATATAATTTAGAAACAAAGGAAGGGAGTCATAGAATTCCTTCCTATTCTGAGACCTAATCAAGAATTAGGACCAGCTCCTTTCTTGAGAATTTGGAATTAGGACTGACATACTGGTTTAGTTTAGGTTCGTTTTAGTCATTTATTTATTTTACGACTATCTGTTGAGCACTTACTACCTGCTAGGCACTGCTGCAGAAGCTACAGATTTGGCAATGAAAAAAAGAAAGATGAGAAAAACTAGAGTTATATGGAAGACCTATGACAAAGACGATCTCTACCTATAAATAAGAAATGGAGCAGTTAGGCTGAGGTTCTCCAGATGTTTGGTAAAAGATGCCCTTTCCTTGCTTTTCTAAGCCTGGAGATGGAAGTGCCAGCTGACCAGAGAGTCCTCAGACACAGCTGAGAACAACCAGCAGGTCCCAACGTATTAATTAAAGTCATATGATCAGTAGAGTTTGTGGGACTTCTTGAAGAATCACAAAACCTCTTAAGAATTAGGGAAGGGTAAAAATAACACATGGTATATTTTATATAGTACAATTTTACTAAGGCCAACAAAGTTCTGGTAGAGGAGAAATCAAAGTTCTAGGAAATTGTTTATGTGTTTTCTTCAGAATAGTAAAAACACGGATTGTCCTGGTGATATTTCAAGGTAAATCACTAAAAGAGAAATTTTTCCTAAAAAGACAGTATCGATGAGGGATTCCAATTGAAAATCAATATTTCAATTAAAAAGTAAAAATGTAAAAGATCTAAATTTCATTTTAGCTTCACTGTTTGTGTGGTTTCCTTTGAAGAAATTATGATCTTATTATATCCTGGCCTACTAGCACATTCCTAAGAAAAAATTAAGACTACTTTATGCTTTTTAAGTTAATGGAATCTCAAAGCAGAATTTTCTAAAGTAGAAAGAGTACATCTGTCAGTAAAAGAAAAGACCTCCTTCATCAATTAACAGCTTTTATTTTATTTTCTTCTACTTATAGAGAGATGATTTGGTATCTCTCACAAAAAAAAAAAAAACAAAAAAACAAAAATTACCCAAGGAGATATGTTCATTCCTTTTTGGAACCAATCCTGAGACTATCACTTCTCCGTAAGATTTCTTTATATTTGTGACGCTATAAAGTCTTTAGTTTTCTGTTCTTTAAGCCCAATAAAAACAAGTCCTTATAGGATCGTTATAAAACCGAATCTTGCCTATTTTCTAGATCTTAGCTAAGCCCTCTATAATTTACTCAAGGTACAAGGTGAAGCATGAGCCTAAAATCAAGCAATAATGAAAGAAGACAATTTCTTTGTATTTTCCTATGAATTATAGATCATTTTATGCATTTGAATACTGGGCAAAGCAACATACAAGACAGACATATTACTATGAACACGTAGGTGTGCACAGCCAGCCTTTTCAAATCTACCCTGAAATGTATTTTTTTGCCTTTAATAAGCCTACTGATTTCTCAACTTCATGAGGTCATTGACTTAAATACTCATTCTGGAATTATAATTTCTATACCAATTTTGGGTTGTCAAATCTAAATAATATCAGGTCTACACATGAGCTTAAAAAATAATAAATCATCGGACTTTATATGAATCACTGATTACCTATTTTCCAGGCATTAGACATAAAAGAAGGCTAAGACATAAATCCCGTCTTTGAGATGTTCTTACCCAGTGGTGTTCTAATATATATTTAATAATTGTGTGCTCCCCAAACCTATATGCATATGTGTTTATATGCAGATATACATAAAATTCAGTATACATTTTACTGAAATAAGCATGCAATTTGCAAATAAAATATGAAATTTATTTTAAATTCTACGCACATATAATTTCAGCATGACTTACAAATTCAATGTTTTT